ACCCACCCAGGGCCATGCCTATAATGAAGTAGCCTGAGGCTGTTGCCTCAGGTGGCATTTCTTTGGGTCTCTCTGCAGACAGAGCATTCCAGAGCTCTTAGTAACCTGGAACTCTCTGGCTGGCGTCCAGCCCAGCTCCGGGCAACCAGTGATGTCAGTGAGCTTGGCTGGACACTGGCCGGAGCCAGAGGTAACCAACTACACCCCACCCTGTAACATGTACCACCAGTATTGACCCCCAACCTTACCCGGACTCAGGTAGTGAAAAGGTCTAGGGACACCCCTGCACCCACCAATTATTCAAAAGGTCAAGAACTGTGAGAAGTACAGCTTCAACTGAGGCAATAAGATGCAAGGCAAATTTGCCTTGTCTGTGCATTGGGAATGCTATGGGGGACTTTGTCTCTTCATATCTGGTTTTGGCACCATCCATAGCAATCACTTCCAGCACCCACCAATTATTCAAAGGTCAAGTACAATGAGGAGTGCAACTTCAACTGAAGCAATAGGACGCAAGGCAAATTGCCTTGTCTGTGGGTTGGGACTGCAATTGGCAATGCTGCCCAACAGGGCTGGTGTGAACAATCCCTTAAAAAACATTTCTGCAGTACTAGCGAACCACCTAGCAAAAGTCATACACAAGCTGATATATAAAGACCAATCTGGGTTTATCCCTACCAAAGCAAAAACATTTCTAGAGGCAAATCATTAAACAGAGACTGTCCATGGCACAGTGGGTAACAACGCAGCCTCTGTATCCTAAATCATTGTAAAGAATGTGTGCCACAAAATATTTCATTAGTGTAAGTCATGTTGTCGCCTATCACTGTGTATGAATCATAATCAGAGGCTGGCATAGTCATCCCAGTGATACTGCTCCATACATGGTAAAAAGGTGCCAGAGTGGAAGACATCAAGTACATTCCTTAGCTACTGCCCAGACTTCACAAAGATTGAGCAATATCCTTTTAGGCAACTCACATTCACAACTCACAGCAACAACACCCTGCAATCTATGAATTAACTGCCCCCACCAGGAAAACCACAAGAGATCCCTAGAGTCTCACAACAATGGTCCGGGGACACGGTGCTGCTGACCCTGTGCATCTATATTTACATCTTTATTCCAAAAAAAAAAAGGGAAGGAGCAAAGAACACCATCCAAGAAATTATTAAATATTACATATCCCAGTAAGCAAGGCTTCTCAAACAGCAATGAACCAATAATCACTAAAGCAGAACTTCAGCCAAAAATAACACAATAAAAAAAGAATTGAAAGATAAAATAACAAAACCAACTTTTGCTGCAATGTATTTGCCTTCCATTTTTCACCTGCAATACTTGGAAATATCTTCAAATGGTATCGGGTCATCCCTAATATAAATGTCTAACAATAATGTGTGCCTGTGGGGGGAAATTAGAGTGTGAGCTCCTCTTGTGCAGAGACCAGGGGCAGTGGGGGTGGAGCAACTCTGAGTCTTTGCCCCATGTGACAGAATGTCTAGCTTCACTAGAAGTAAAGGCTAATCACTGCAACGGGTAAAGGATTGAAGGCTGATATCTCCCAATGGGTAAATAATTAAAGGCTAATCTCCCCAATGGGTAAGAATTGAAGGATAAACTCTCCAATGGGTAAGAATTGAAGTATAATCTCTCCAATGGGTAAAGAATTAAAGGCTAATCTCTACAATGGGTCCACATGGCAAAATTAATAAGTAAATAAACCTGATAGTGGTGGTAACTATTTCCTACTGTCTAAAATTTACAATAAAATAGACATTTTGGTTTACATACACATCAATGTTTACAATGTGACTAGAAGATGCGACAGTGATAAATATTATCTTGCCTATAATGTCACTAGGAGATAATTAATTATGCCAAGTGAGTGTGTTATAAAACGGAAAGATACATTGTTATTAATAATAAATCGAGTGCAAAGTTAAACAAAAAGTGTATCATATATTTTCCAAGCTGTTCCCAGCTAATTATGTCCCCATTATTGGGGCAATTCCACCCATAACTGACACAAGATATTTCAGATTTTGGTAGATGCTGACAGTTTTTTATATCGCTTCGGTTGCTCCTGCGGAGAGATCTCTGTGCTTAGCATTCATTCACACCAACTTGCACACGTTTGGCACTATGTAATGCATGCAGGCGCACATTGTAAGGCCTCATTCACACTGCCGTATAATGCGCACAGCGGTTTTTCCTATATGCATACACATAGCTGCGTATGGAGCCATATTTTTGCGCTGCATAAAGATGCAGAAAGAAAATGGAACCGAGATGCGTCCGGGCTCGTAATTTCTGCAAATTTTACGCGTGTGCACACGTATACGCATATAGGCGCGTACAGTACATTAAAGTTCCTATTAAAAATAATGCATTCTGGGATTGCTTACAATTCACGCATTTACAAATATGCGTACAATTTTGCTCTTGCGTTGTGTGTGAATGAGGCCTAAAGGGCAGTGTGATCCATTTTTTCTTTTTAACTTCAAGAAGAACTATGAGTAATATTTTTTATTAACCCTTGCAGTGGGTTTAACTGCCCGTATTGGTCTAAAGAGGAAAATACTCACCTGATCCCCATGCCAGTTTGTTCTAAGACCGATCCCTGGAGTGTCTCTCCTCTTCCACTGCAGCAGAGAAGGAGACAGGATGGAGGGAGCGCTGTCACAGCCGGTCGCTTTGGAGGATCGGTTGAGTATAACATTGTTATTTTCAGCCCTAGCCCAAAACAAGCATTTAACCCTTGCAGTGCGGATGAAGCCCCACTGCAGGGGTTAATAGAAATATTACCCAGACTTCTACTTTAAAATTACATTCAACTTTACGCACCGCAGTTCGTTGCCTTGAGTTGCGTAAAAATGCATTTTTACACAGCGCACACTACAACACATGGATGCGAATGGGGCACTATTGTTTTCTACGCGCCTTTGCATTCATTCTGTGGTAATCTGTGCGAACCTAGGACACTTAGAAATCAATGGTTTTGTATGCGCCCTGTTCACATCATACATGTGCGTTTATGTGTGCTGCGTAAAAGCAGCATGTCTTCATTTTTGCGTAATGCAACTGGCCTGAGGACTGCAGGATTCAAGTGGGTCTGGGTAAAAAAAACTGCTCATTTTAAAAAGGATTCAAAATGGGATATTTAAAAAAAGAAGGGGGTGGGACTTGGTTACATTGAATTGAATGAAATGTCATTTTGTGACATTTAAATTAAGTTTAAAAAAAGAAAAACGCATCCCGCCACCCTTTACAACGCACACCAGCAGCTCAATGTCCTTTACAACGCACACCAGCAGGTCAACAGATGCAGATCACTTGACATGGCTAAACGAGCCTTTACATTTTCAGATCTGCCCAACACATGTGAATTCAATGAGGGGGGGTCTCACTCTCCTTGCTGGATTCCGAATTCCTTTTATACTCCTATGTGGACACATGGGAGGTGTTGGAACATGCAGAGGTGGGTGGGAGCTTCCAAAACTCCCAGGTGGATGGGAAAAGGAGGCAGATTATTCCAGACAGATCTCAAAATTTGGAGATAAGAGATATAAGAAGCCCAGAGGCATCTCAAGCTGACTCCGCCTAGAGCCAAAATGTCAAGGCTTTGCAACGTTTTATAGAATGAGACATATTGTATATCAAAATGAATTTGTAGAAGTTCTGATCTTCACTAATCAGCTTCTACAGGGGAGGAAATCTAAAATTAAAATTGTGGGAATTTTAATCGGAAATGCAAGCGGAAAGTCCCGAGCACAAGGAATATTTCCAGGGACAGTCTCGGCTCTCCGGGGTTGGGTGTGTCAGAGGGAGGAGATCTTGCTGTAAACTCAAGCAGAAAAGTGGAGCCTGCACACCTTGTTATCACACACAGCCCTGGAGGCTGCCCAGGTACACATTGATCTCTGTAATCTGATCTGCTGTACTAGAGAAGTCTATACATACTTTCATTATCACGTCGTACATGTGTCACAAGCAATCGTATCAAACACAGGAACACCGTGTATCAATTAACCCCAAACTACCTTACAAAGTACTAGCAAGGTCACTGAGCTGCTAATTCATGTACAACAAACCATTAGTAATCCTCTTGTAAAAAAAATCTTATATCTAGGCATACAAGAGTGATCAAATCTTTTTACTATTGACAGATTTAACTGTTAGCCCCATTCTACAATACAATGTCCCAGGAAAGTCATTGACATTTGATCTACTAATACAGGTAGGACGGACCATTAGTAGCCCTCTAGTAAAAATCTTACATCTAGGGCTACATGGGCCATCATATTTTTACTTCTGAGAGATTTAACTATAAACCCCAAACTGCAATGTTATGTCCCAAAGTCATTGACATTTGATCTACTGATACGTACAACAGACTACTGTATTAGTAATTCGCTAGTAAAAATCTTATATCTAGGGATACATGGGCCATCAAATCTATGCTACTGAGATATTTAACTATCAACCCCAATGATGTCCCAATGATCTGCTAATTCATGTTATGACAAACCATCAGTAACCCTATTGTAAAAAAATAAACAAAACAAAAAACTTACCTCTAGGGTTACACGAGCGATCAAATATCTATGCTACTGACAGATTTAACTATTAACCCAAAGCTACAATAAAATGCCCAGCAAAGTCATTGGCATGTGATCTACTAATACACATATGAGAGACCATTCGTAAGCCTTTTTGCTCACCCATGAAGCCCTAGCATATGTCTAGGGCTTCAGGGGTGAGCAAATCTTTTTGTGACTGAGAGATTTAAATACTGTTGACCATCATCTTATTAACGGCTCATTGATTGATTGTAGCAAAACAAATTAATCACAAGTATTATTCCAACACACTCCCCTCAACCAAAAATCAGTGGCACTGCTTGCATGTAAAAGCAGTGGTTGGGTCAATCTGAGTGTAGCTTAAACGTAACAATACACATAGGTGAGCTTGCCATAGGGCAGTGCCCAGGACTCACCTAGCACCTGGCAGTGCAGCATTGCCAGTAGGAGTAGTGCAGCTCCCAGCATGGTCTATGTTGTGTTCACTCCTTCCAGCTAATGAGGAAATGACTTCTGTACATCATGCTCGGGCTTTGTCTGGCTTTATAGAGAGACTCACATGAGCAAACAGGTTACACAAGTCCTACAGACAAGGCGGAAGTGACAGCATGCTTGTCTCAGAGCCATTTCTCATTGTGCCTGTGTTGTTGTGGTGTTCTTTTCTATTTCTGCTTTGTTTTGATAGGCACCTAGGTGTGCTCTGCAATGTTTCAGTTGGTCCAACCATATTGTTAGTGGATTGGAAGCCACAGTGAACATGCTGGTTGGGTACACACTTTGCTAATGCATGTACTTTGTGGATTTTTAGGACCTGTTTACATTGGTGCAGTGCCTTACTCTACATGTGTTAACATGCCTTTTATGTCATGTGTTGCATTAGGGTAGCCCACTGGAAACAATGAGCTTCCGATGCACCTAAATGGCCTAACAATCATATATGTCCCAATTTCTTTTCTGGTGTCTTGCCATGGGTTCTAAAAGAAGAAGTAGAAACCACTGGCACTCCAAAATTCCTTGCTTCAAATCTTCTTTATTGACATGATCAAGGTGCTTTCACAGTGGCAACGTTTTGGAACCCTATCCAAAGGCAAGCAAAGTGACATAATTTTGGAGTGCCAGTGGTTTCCTACTTTTTCTTATGGTTTGACTGGCGGAGCCATCCACTTCCTCTGCTGCACCCACCTATAATTATTGGGTTTTGATTCTGGTTAGGAGTGCGATGGGTTATGGACATATCTGCCATGGGTTCCAATGCATGTGTCTTGCCTTACTGCATTGGGTTACTATTCAAAATTAATGCCACTTCAACAGGTGAATGCATGCAGTGTGCATTGCTACATGTTAACGCATGTGTTCCTGCAATGGCTCCTAAAGCTGAACTTCAGTTTTTTTTTTTTTTTTAAAGTATAGTACCTTGCCCTTGTAATATAGAAAAGGTAGCTTTTGTTGCTATTCTCATCCCCAAAACTGTCCCCTACAGACTTACCACTCCAAGTGCCATTCATTTTCCAGACTGCATAATAGCCAGTGCCATTCAACCCACTATCAGTGAGCCCTGGCTGTCATGGACATGCCCCTGTAGAGTTCAATGACAATCTGGCTGAAGCCACAGCTGCACGATTATCCAATCTACGTTTGAGTTCTACACAACGCCATCCATGTTATCACAACGAGCACCACCATCTTACAAGGTCACAATGCTGCCATGCGCAGGTGATCAACAGCACTATTCCATCTGTATGCTGTTGCTGTATGTGTGTATATATATATA